CAAACCAAATTGGCACTATGCTTTTGACTTTTATAAAAAATTAATTCAAAATCAATTACTTGCAGAAATCAATGTAAATTAATGAACTCTACTAAATTTACAGGGTATATAAAGAACACCCAAAATATAAAAGAATATATATTTATGGAATAATTGTTCCGCAACAAGCAAATACTAAATATAAATGATTAATATATAAAGATATATAGTATATATAGGGTATATAAACATGTTTTTGCCTCAACAGACCTCAGAATATCAATTATAGGGTATCTAAAGTACACAGAATCAAATAGTAAATGCATTAAAAGACTTGCAATGCCTATGGTATTGGTCTTACAGGGTATGTAGTATACACAGAACTCTATATTGAAAGTGCACTAGAAATAACAGAGAGTAAATCAATTTTGATATATCTTAAAAATAATTATAATTAAGATCGTCATTAATATGATATGTGGAATGCAATGAGATAAATAGGCGAAGAATTCTTAACAAAAATACCTTAGAAATGTAAGACGAGCTATGGAAACTGTTTAAAAAACGGGCTACATAAATATAGAAACAAGTAAAGCTAGCTTCTACGCTTATAAAGTATGAAGAAACAAATCGAACACAAAAATGTTTAATAATTAAATGATTTTATTAAGATGAGTCAATTCGGGTTTAATAACAGTAAATCGTGTTCTTAACTGCATTTTCAGCTTATCACACCAGTTAGCTAGCTTTACAGGGTATCTAAAATACAGCGAATCGGAAGCAGCCCACATAAATATCAAGCCCTCATATCACGGAACGTGTCTTTTGTACAAGACTCGCAGCTAGCCAAAATTGCAAAACGAAATTATGCAAAAATAAAACAGAAAATCAAGAAATTAACAAAAATAAAAACGAAAAAGGTAAACAAAACACGTTAAGAACGTTAGAAACAGTTAACGCAAAGTGGTCAAAATGACTCATTTAGCCATTTGAGAGCGGCTCGAACAAGTTTCGCGCACTGATCAGGGAAGACAAGATGAGCTCAGTGTGTAGAGCGATCGATGCTGTCAGTGTATAAATATATGTATATATAAAGATATATAATTGTATATATAATATTTGAGATCAGAATCCAAACAGTTGAAGCTTTCGTTTGACATAAAAAAAATATAAATATATGTACGTACATTTCTATTACTTATAAATCTATTATTTTTGTGATTTTCTTTACCTTTATCTTTCTTGCTCGTTCGCTGTTTGCCTTCTGTGTTGTGCTTTGCGCTGTCTCTCTTCTTCTTCTGCTTCTAATGGAAAATATAGCCGTGATTTTTCAACACTTTCACATTCACAATGAAAATCGAATGGATGCGAATGCACCATTTGATTATTTATAAACAAAATTGGTTTGTTTATTGTTTTGATTTATTTTATTTATTTTATATATATATTTTATTTTGTATTTCTTGAAACTTTTCATTAAGTTTGTACACAAACACACTGTATGAAATTTGATATTTAGGATTTAGATTGCTAGAAAGATAGAAGATTGAGATCTTGGAATTTGCCAGCATTTAGATGTGTATAATTTATATATACTTTATTGGCTGCATATTAAGTTTCACTTTAATTTGCAGCACACGTACTTTGCAACGAGCCATGCTGGAAAATTCATTTTCCACACACACACACACACGCACACACACACTTAAAGCTCGAGTCATAAGTCAAGACTTTCAATTAAGCGGCTTTAACACGACAAACTGCGTTGGTAATTGTGAAAAGATGCTTACGCCAGCCATCCAATGTATCTTTGTATCTATGCATGTGTGTGTGTGTGTGTATGCCTAGCCGTGTATCTTATGCTGTTATGTATCTGTGGGCATGTGAGCCGCGGTAAAAGTGTAAAAATTACAACAACTTGCGCTTTCACAATACACAAAAATAAAACGATTCATGATTTGCCACATGATTTTTCCTTGGTTTTTCTTCTACTCTTCTTTCCTCTTCTTCTTCTCTCTTTTTTCGCCTAGCATCTAGCGACAATTGAAGATGAATCTTTAGCATTAAGCAGCCAAGTTCCGGGTTGAATGAAACACAGATAAATTAGCTGATATACATACAGATATATATACATATATCGTATCGTGTCGTGTGTCTATATATATTCATTAATTTGTATTGCCGATCGATTTAAAATAAATTAAAGTACACGCACAGCTGCCCAAATACAATGCATATTGCGCAGCGTGTGTGTGTGTGTGTATGTGTGTGTGAAAGTACGCAACAACAACAAAATAAAAACAAATCAAAGTTGCCAGCCCATTTACAAATGGAAAATTGTCAACGCACATTGAACTTGACGACAAAAGAAATGCAACAAGCGAAGAGGGAGAGAGGGAGCGAGAGAGAGGGGAGCGCGGCAGCGAGTGGGCACACTAGCATGCCTCAATTTACAGTTAAGCGACGCAGACGCAGACGCAGAGATGCAAAACTCCGCGCAGCAGACTTTCGGCCAGAGGAATGCGAAATGCGAAATGCACTTGCTGCGCCAACTTTTTTTTCGCTAAATGAAAAAAAAAATGAAAAAAGTGAAGGGGCTACAGCTGCCGGGATCTGCGAGACCTGTGCCCAGTCTAGCCTCCGTCATGCCCGTCTCGGCCCCCTTCTTCCCCTCCACCGCTCTCTTCGCACTTTGTGTCTAAAGATATATGGAGAGAGATACATCGAATAGCCGGCTAGCATAGCGGTACTTTGAGTGGGCATGACGAGGAGCTAATGACTCGGCGCCTCACTCGACATTCGACAGACATATAGACAGACGGACAGACAGACACACGACTTAACAGGAAGTTGGCAATTTTGGTTAGCCAGAGCTGAAGAAACTAATGTTGATTGGGGCTGCTGTATGTCTATAAAGGCGTATATGAAAATATATCTATGGCTGGTTTGGCTGCGTGGAGCGTGTGTGCGCCAAGGGGCGGGGCCAAGTGATCATGCCACAGAGTTTTCAAATATCTGTTAAATAACTGCAAAATATTTTTCATACATATATTTAACAGCTATGAAATGCCTATTTATTTCATTTGATTGATTGATGGCATATAATGTCAATATTTATATTTTATTTATTGATAATTTAAAATAGATATTATGAAACAGATTTTAACGATTTTTTATCAATTTTTTAAAGATTTTAATATATACATATATATTAATATGTATATATAGAATTTGTATAAAATATATAATAAAATAATACTTCATATTTAATTAATAGTTTTTGATTACATGTTTCTATTGCATTTACTATTTGTTTCTTAATTGTTTGAACTACTTTAATGTGAAATATACAAATTTTTAAAACATATCAATACTAAACATAAAAAAAATATTTGTTTTATGATAAAAATAAATGTTGATAATTCAATTACTTTATTGAAAATATGCTAATTTTTTACCAATATATATTTATATAAAATTTATTATTAATTTTTCGTTTGTTTGATTTTTATTATTATTTATTATTTATTTTATATTTATTATTAAATTTTTTGTTTATTTTCCTTTTGCTTTAATTTTTTTAAATTGTTTTATGAATATTATTATTATTTTTTATTATTTTATTTTTAAATTTTATTACTATTGATCTTTGACTTGGTTTGAGGTATGATTAATTTATCTGCCTATCCAGATCTTATTATTGTTCTCTGTTATTTAAACAAGTACATTATGAAGAAATATTTGTTTTTCTTTTAATTAAATCAGCCATTTCATTCTACTAATTTATAATGCATTATGATTTGAATATTTGATTATGAACTTAAACCTCTCAGAACCGCTTCATTGCTAAAATATTATTTTATATCTGAATTAATGCTAAGTTTATATTATGCATAGCAAATTCCAATAATTCCGCTATCTATATGTATTTGCGCTTCAGTCTCTTTCAAACATTCAATCGAAATTCCAAAACTCCAATTTAAGCACATTATTTATGCCAATTAAATAAACCGTTATCACTTTGCTTACATATATGCTAAATATGTATATTATCAATTATTCCGCTTGTTTTTGAGTTTTGCTCATTTTTCACTTGGTTTAATTTGATAATTAGCCGCAAAGTACGCAGCAACCGTCGTCGTCGAAACTCTTCGAAATAAACTAATATGAACAAGAACGCAGAGACGGCAATCGAGGCCGATGAATAAAAACGCGCGCGTTACGAACGCGCTACGTACCAAACTCAGACTGTGAGGCAAAACAACGGGCGGCTAAAGCGAGCGGCCAAGCAAGCGCGCTGGCAGCAAGCTACAAAAACAAAAACAAAAGAAAAAAAACCTGACTCAGTGCGAAAGCGGCGCAGCGCAGCTGCTGCTTAAGCGGCTTAGAAAAAAGGCCAAAAGCGCAGAGCGACACACAGCAAATCTGAGAGAGAGAGCGAAAGCAAGAGAGTAGCTTTAGCGCTCAGCTGTTGCAAGCTGACCAACTAGGGTAAAAAATATACAGGGTGTTTTTTTTTTTTTGACAATAGGTGATCCACAGACAACACATGCATAAATATATTTTCAATACATTTAAACAACTTTACATTAAAACAGAAACTCCATTAAACGAACATTTCATTAACAGTTAGCTCACTGTTGCCTTTATAAACGAACATTTCATTTACAGTTAGCTCACCGTTGCCTTTGCTTTGCATTCGCTTATACATTTACAATTTGACCATTTAAACTATATTAAAACAATTCCTTATTATTTTATAGCTTTTTCACACTGCACTAAAACCAAATAAACTAATAATATCTACCCTCGCGAACACGAAAAGTTTATTGAATGCCCATATTTCATAATACGTTTTATAAATAATTTTAACTGTTGCTCGCGCGCGAAAACTGAGAGAACTGAGTAGGCTAGCTATCGATATATGAAAATAACTTCAATTGCTTCAATACAATAGCTAAATATCGCTAACAAATTGAAAACTACAATGTCATCGATATTTATTCCGATAGTGGTGCAGCTGTTCGCAGCAATATTTACAAAATTTAGTGTAGCATGCGAAATGGAAGCTGGAGATTGCATCTTCTGTAATATTGTAAATGGCAGAACTGACACAGTTTTGGAAATGGAATCGGATGATTTTGCCATATTCAAAGACATAAAACCAGCTGCGCAACACCATTACCTAATTGTGCCAAAGGAACATTACGATAGTCTGAAAACGCTCAACAAATCGCACATAAAAATGGGTAAATAAAACGTAGTATTAAATTATACGCTATATTTATGTATATTTTATATCTCTAGTGAGCCTCATGGAGGAAGAGATGAAAAACTTCTTCGTATCAAAGGGCATTAGCACAGCGGACGCACTCTACGGCTTCCATTTTCCGCCTTTCATCTCCGTGAAGCATTTGCATATGCACGGAATAGCTCCACGTTCCCAAATGCCATTTGTCTCTCGGATGATGTTTAGACCTTCGACCGCTTGGTTCAAAACCGTACGTAATAAGCTTATTTATATAATCTGATATTTCTTTAACTATCTTATCTCTGTTAATTTAGGCCCAGGACGCTCTAGCTTATTTGCGGACAAAAGCAGTGTAATTTTCCACTTGCACTCGACGTGCCCAAATAATTTTCTTTTAAAGAAATATATTTTGTATATATATATACTTTATTTTCGGTTTTATGATATGCACTTAAACTAATTCTTAGATAAGCTAAACACATGTGTATGAACAAATAGCCAACACCTTAATGCGAGGGTAGTTCGAAAAATATATAGTTTTCACATAACGCTAAAGGAAGACAAAAGACATATATAATATAATATAATTGTTTAAATAAATAGATATATTTTTGTTAGTTCACACACTTTTTAGACAACCTTCGGACACATACAATAAATAATTAGGCTAAAAATAAAATGTATAAATTATTGTTGATTAAACTACTTAGCGTATTTAACAATTGTGTTTTTAGGCTTTCATTATTTTTGGATTTTTCTTTTCAGATTTTGTAAATCTTTGAATACATTTTTGTAATAGTTAAAATTTGTAATTTAAATTATCTGTATATGAATCAGTCAAATGTTGGAAATTTCTTTGAGAATCAGAATTCTGTTCTTTTTGGGATATTTGCATGTTGCAGAAATATTTCAAATATTAAATGATTAAAGTCGATGCTTCGAATATCGTACTCTGCATATTTTATGGAATAATAACTTTTAGCTCTATTAAAGCAAAGGTTAATAGAGTTCACACACTTAGAAAATATTAAAAATGTTTGTGAATATTTTAATACTTAAGATCCTAAGCTAGACATTTTGTGAAATACACTCAGCTTTTACACATATAACAAATAGCTTGGATTTCTAACCTAGGAAATTTGCTTAAACATATTTAAAATTTGTCAAATAATTTCATTTACCTTAAACTTCTTATTATAATTTGGTAAAATTTGCTCATATTTTAGCGAATTTTTGGAATGATAAAATTTAGAAGATAATATTAATTGGCTAATTACTAAACATATTGTAGAAAATTTTACAAAAATAATTTTCTTTAAATATATTCTTAAAAATATTGTTATACATTATTTAAATTTTTCCAATATCTTAGGTTTTTGGAATATGTAAGCTATAGCCTAGTCATTCCTAAAAGTTTTTGTCAGAGTTTTGATAGAACTTTACTTCGCACATTTAATATATATTTAAAGTTGTTTAAAATAATTAAAGGTAATTAATGATTTTTTTATGTTGAGTTTCTTCAGCTTCGATTAGAAGTTTTATGTAATGCAAATTCTCAGCTGAATCATAAAAATTGGTTTTGACATTTATGGCGATTTTAAGAACTTTTACAAATTAGTTATAATTGATTTTTAAAGATACAATTCCATACAATTTTTTGTTGTAGTCCTCTATGCTTGAAGATATTTCAGGTTTGTTGAATTATTTGGGAATATTTTAGATTTTTCTTATAATTGTTTTATATGTTCACATTCAAATCTTTGTTTTCTCTTACTTTATATGTTATTTGCCAGCTTGGACATTTCAGATTTCTTAAATTTGTTTTTGAAACATTCAAGATTTTGCAAATCTTCTGTATAAGTTCACATTTCGACCATTTTTCTTTGATAATTCCCAAGGGTTTTCCATAAATGAATTTTCAGATAGTTCAAATATTTTTGCGCTTCAAATTCAACAGAGATTCAAGCCCATACCCTTCAGGAAGTTCGGATCATCTGTGTGTCTGTTCATGTGTCGCTTGAGATAGGAGCTCTTGGGGAATGGCATCAGGCAGATGACACACTTGAAGGGCCGCTCGTCAGTTAGATGCACCCGGCGATGCCTTTGCAGAGCACCCGGCTGGACATATGATGCCTGGCACAGATTGCACTTGTACGGACGCTTTCCGGAATGGATTCGCTTGTGCACTGTTAGATTGCCAGCATTGGCAAAGGTCTTGGGGCACTCCAGGCACTTGAAGGGCCGTTCGCCTGTGTGTGTGCGAATGTGTTCATTGAGCCGGCCGCGCTGGGTGAAGGCTTTCACGCAATGCGGACACTTGTAGGGCCGCTCACCAGTATGAGCGCGGATGTGGTCCGCCAGATTGCCGGGATTGACGAATTCCTTGGGACACATCTGGCACTTGTGCTCGCGCTTGCGGGCATGAAAACGCTCGTGCAGTATGAGTTTCTTTTTGCTTAGGAATTCCTTGCCACAGGTGGAGCAGCGATTCGCCACATTCTTGCTGGGTAATGATTCGTCCAGGGTAAAGTTTTCGCTATTTGTTTCACAGATCACATCACACTCGATTTTAAACTGACACGCCGAATAAATGTCCGAGTTCCAGGTGTCCTCGACTTTGGTCTGCGCATCTGTGTACACACATTTGTCCATTTCATCAGTCAAATCCTCTCCGATTTGCTGCTCTTCAATTTTCACTGAGATCATATCCTCAGCCCATTCGGCCAGCTGCATATTGTTTGCCTCGAGCATTTGCCAGAAATACTGTTGACTCTCCTCGCACTTACGCTTGAATTCGTAGAAATGGCGTGCATCCGCAATGCAAGATTCGCACATTTGTTGAGGTAGTGCATCATCTTTGTTTACCTCACAGCTGGTGCAGTCGGCCAGCATTTCGGCCAGGCTGGGTTCGTTCTCCAGCACTGCATGTTCGTCAAAAATGTCCACTAATTTGTTTGCGTTATCTCTGCAAACGCGGCAGCACTTTTCCATTGCTTCAATTTATGCTCTGCAAATATTGTATACAAATAAAATTGTTTGAAAGACAAATCAATCCTTTCAACTGGCAGTATTTTTGTATATTTTAGCACTGTGTTACTTTGGTCACACAGATATATTCCACACGAATATACTGCAAAATTCTTTAACATAATTAAGCGCCAAGATAACAGAAGCTGTCTGCTCTTACATTAATTTGAAAATAATGAAAGAAACTGTATTTTATTTATTACTATGTATATTCAATTTTAAATACTATATTAAATATGCAAACTTGTTGTCGATGATTTGCACACACTATTTATCGGTATTGAAAAACATCGCCGAGAGGAAAAAAACAGCATCGTTTGGTATCGATATTATATCAACAATCCAAGAGTCGACTTCAGCTGTGTGCGCTGTTCTCTGCTCGCTGCTTCGTTTTTCGTATGTTTGTGCCCGCTACCCATGCATGTGTGCTTGTGCGTATGCGAGTGTGTGTGTGGTTGTGCGTGTGTACGCTGTGGCATTTGTGTGTGTGTGTGCGTGTGTGCAAAATCAGTGTCTTTGAAAAAAGCAGAAAACTGATCAAAGGGCCACAAAACGACAAAGTTCCTATTTTACACAATTCGTGCCCCGTGTTCAGCTTAAAAGTGGCCAAAATTCGACGAAAACAGCGCAAGTGTGATAAAAGCACAGTGCCACAGCCGTCTGCAAAACGAACGAAAACAAAAGAGAACAGTGTTGATAGTACAACAAGCATTTTAAGCAGTGGCAGCGGCAGCGGTAGCAGCAGCGGCGCCGGCAGTCGAGCCAGCAGTGGTGGCAATAACAACACCAGCAGCAACAACAACAACAGCAAGCGCGCATACGCGTCTTTGGGCCGGGGAGCGGCCGACGTTGTACCTGAAGTTCGTTTACTCCCAACAACAGCAACAGCTCCAGCAACACTTACTCGAGCAGCAGCGGCGGCGGCAGCGGCAGCGGCCGCAGCAGCGACAACAACAGCAACAAACACAGAGGCGGCTGCCGGCCGGTGTCCGGCTGAGGAAACTGTTGTTGTTAGCGGTGGGCGGGTCGGTGGGGGCGTGGAAGGCGCACAGCTAACAAAGGGTCCGCTGAATGCGACGAATTTGTCGCTGCCCGTTTGCTTGCGCACCGTGCAAAAGCTTGCCGCTGAGCTCGACGCCAAAGCCGACGTCAACGTCAACGTCAGCGATAGCAGCGACGTCGACGGCGACAGCGACGCTAACGTTAACGACATGTCGGAAACGGGCTGCCGGCACTATCAGAGCTACGTAAAGGAGCACAGCTACGATACCTTTCGTGTTATCGATGCCTACTTCGCTGCCTGCGTCAACAAGGATGCGCGTGAGAAAAAGGTGAGCAGCAGCAGCACGCAGTAGCAGAACCAACCCTCCCTAACCCCTTCTCTATAGGCCATACACTGCTATTGCTTCGAGTGCGGCAGCTATGGCATCCAGCTGTACGCCTGCCTGCATTGCATCTACTTTGGCTGTCGCGGTGCTCACATCACCAGCCATCTGAGGGCCAAGAAACACAATATCGCATTGGAGCTGTCGCATGGCACGCTCTACTGTTATGCGTGTCGTGACTTCATATATGATGCACGCAGTCGTGAGTATGCGATAATTAATCGCAAGCTAGAAGCAAAGGATCTGCAAAAGAGCCTCGGCTGGATACCATGGATACCGACGCCCAAGGAGACGAACCTGCTGCTAGCCAATGCACGGCGGCGTCTGGTGCGACCCAATCAGACAATCGGGCTGCGAGGGTTGCTCAATCTGGGCGCTACCTGCTTCATGAACTGCATTGTCCAGGTGAGTTGGTTTAAGAAAATATCGTATTGGAAATGGAATTTCAATTTATCGTATTAAGTACATATATATTTAAAGTGTCATCCCTTATATTTGCAAATAAGTTTCTATATTTCGAATCTTGCATAGCTGTATATTCAAAAAATCGAATTTTTCGATAACAAATATTCAATTTAAAATAAAACAAGTTTTTGCTTTTTATTGTAGTTGCTTTAAATAAAGATAATGTTGAGTTTATTAATAAAAATTAAATTATTTAAATTTATATTAGATATAATATTGATAGATATAATAATGATATCCAATTGTGCAGATTTATCGATTATAATATGATATATATGTATGTGTATATACTATATTAATTATCATATATGTATGTATGTATATAACTGGGATATTCAATTCCTATTTGCTTCTGGCCTTATAAACTTTCGGTGACTGTAAGGGTATTTAAAATTCATCGTGTTTACTTAATAATTTTGTATATATGTAATTTTAATCTTATCTGAACGCTTCCTCTTAGGCTCTGGTACACACGCCGCTGCTGAGCGACTATTTCATGTCGGATCGCCACGACTGTGGCAAGTCCTCACACAAGTGTTTGGTATGCGAGGTGTCGCGTCTCTTCCAGGTAAGCGCATGCGCCTTAGCCAATTTGTACAATGATTGAACTTCGGGTTTGCTTCTGCAGGAGTTCTATTCCGGCTCACGTACTCCATTGTCGCTGCATCGCTTGCTGCATTTAATTTGGAATCATGCGAAACATCTGGCCGGCTATGAGCAGCAGGATGCGCATGAGTTCTTCATCGCCACGCTGGATGTGCTGCATCGGCATTGTGTGAAGGCCAAGTCGGAGCACGAGAGCAAGAGCAACAGCTCGAGCGCCACGGGTGGCAATTCCAGCTCCAGTGCCAACGCAACGGCCACGCATAGCTATGGCCAGTGCAACTGCATCATCGATCAAATCTTTACGGGCATGCTGCAGAGCGACGTCGTGTGCCAGGCATGCAAAGGCGTTTCCACCACATTCGATCCCTTCTGGGACATCTCACTGGATCTCGGCGAGACGACATCGCATGGCGGCGTCACACCGAAAACACTGATCGATTGCCTGGAGCGCTATACGCGAGCCGAGCATCTCGGCTCGGCGGCCAAAATCAAATGCTCCACCTGCAAATCGTATCAGGAGTCCACCAAACAGTTCAGCCTGCGCACTCTGCCCAGCGTCGTGTCGTTCCACCTGAAGCGCTTCGAGCATTCGGCGTTGATCGATCGCAAAATCTCATCGTTTATTCAGTTTCCCGTTGAGTTCGATATGACGCCCTTCATGTCCGAGAAGAACAATGCCTATGGGGACTTTCGGTTCTCCCTGTACGCCGTTGTCAATCACGTGGGCACCATCGATACCGGGCACTATACGGCCTATGTGCGACATCAGAAGGATACGTGGGTCAAGTGCGATGATCATGTGATAACAATGGCATCGCTCAAGCAGGTGCTCGACAGCGAGGGGTGAGTTGGCAATGATTACGTAATTTGTAATATTAATATACTCTCTTTTTCAGTTATTTATTATTCTACCATAAGAATGTCTTGGAGTACGAGTGAGCGGCAGGGACAAGGATACAAACTCAGCGCATCCATAGAGACTGTTTATCTCGCTCTCACAAATCACTCAGCCACCCACACTCACTCATACCCACACACTCACAGAGAGTGGCACTCTTGGTGCCAGTGCATGTAGCATACACACACACACACATCCAACTACGATTACTACTACAACTACAAATATACAAAATGCAGACAAGAACGCGGCAGCGCTTACAACAACAACAACAAATCTTAATCTTAATTAATGCAAACAAAAAAAAAAAAAAACACAAACATATTGTTCTAAGTATTTCCAGCACATAATGCTAAAAACTAAACGAATGCTAAACTACAAATAATTGCTTATGTATGTAAAACAAAGAAACAAAAAATTTATGCATAGCAACCAAAATGCGACGCAAGAAAGAAACAAAACGAAATATCACAATTTTTGCTCTTACTCAAGAAATTTCCAACAATTTAAACAAACAAAAGAAAATCAAAAAAATGAAACCTAACTGATATAATCTTTGCAGCTAAGAGCAGCTTCTTGTTTTGTTTTTAGAGCGGAATACTTTTCTTTATTTCATTTGTTGATTGCGTAGTGTTCAGGATTTTGAAAAAAAAATATAATCACAAAAAATTTGGTTTTAACACTTGGGCTCGTCCGGGAATTGAACCCGGGACCTCTCGCACCCGAAGCGAGAATCATACCCCTAGACCAACGAGCCGGTTGAAGGTGGTCCGCCATATTGTATATTTCAATTTGCTGCGTCCGCGCTGACTATTACAAAATTTGTATATATTGGGCAGCGCATGCAACACGTGTTAGAAAGAGACGACCATAGTATGCCACGGGGTTCGTGTCCATGCTAAAATAATTGCTGTTTTTAGCATAGACACAAACCTGTCTAGCATCATTTAGGTTATGATCCATGGAAACCTGAAATATATATTGAACGGTATATTGAGATTATGTACACAATTATGATTTTCATAAACATACATACATTATTTGTTGATTGTATTAGAAAATAACTATTAGCTAAAATGTAGGGTTACTCACTTTGAAAGTAGGTGAAGTTAGAGGTTAGAAATCTTATTGATTTATTTGATCAAATTTGAATATCATTATTTAATTTAATTAATTATTTATTTAATTTTTACAGGCTACTAAATTAAAAGTGCATTTATGTAGCTTATTTATAAATTAATAATAGCACATGGCTTTGTAGGCTCTTCAATAAATATTATAAACAAGTGGAGGAATATCAACAATATTGCTATCGATCTCAGCTTATTTTACAGCACTGGCTGCCGACCAGGAATCCCAGCGTAGGCGATGATCGTGTTGATTCAAAAACTACTGTAAGCTCAGCGAGTAAACAACGGCAAAAGCAAGCGAAGAGCACTGCAGTATGGAAGTTCAAAGTAATAAAACGAAGAAATATTCTTACCTATCCGCATCGAAATTTCCTGTGCTCAAGAAGCCGGAAATGGCTGGCTGCGAGAACTGTATTTGCAATCGGAAGCGCGGCTCAATTTTTTGCACCAGTTGCAAAAAAACGTTCGTGGGTCGCATTGCTGAACGTTGTCAGATGCATCCAGAAGTAAGCAAAGATATTTGATATGCTTATATGTATATAAATTTAATGATCGCGCTTTTTCAGGTTGCATATCTTATGGATGCGCGCTATTGCGCTTTCTGTGGAGCTGCTGCTAAAGATTTGCAAATGGGGGATCCAATGTAAGACTCATGTCGTTGACGACAGACAGTATGCTGAAGACATACATACGTAATTAATAAGCACAATGAAATTCACAAATATATAAATAAATTTGATTTTTTATGTAAGCACAAGAGAAAATGGTTTCTTTTTCACATTTCGGTACGCGTGTGTATGTTTGGGCGTATACTCTTCTACATGTTTACCTGTGCATGTGTGCGTAGATCAGAGCTGCTTTTAGGTTTGGTTGGCATTTTACAACACCCTTAAACACCGTTACTTAAATATTTTTGCGCGATTGTGCTGTCAATTCTGCCGATTCCCTATTGGCATTTATAGCCGCAATACAATAAAAAAGCTATAATTGCGTGGTCTTCTAGCGGAATGAGTGGATCGGACAGCTGCTTTGGCTGTTGTTATCTAGCTTTTTTATGGCCAGACAAAGCTACCCAGCACTGACTGTTTAGTTGAATATTTTCGCGACGCAGTTGTGCACAATTAAATATTTGTTTGTTATATTTTGCGTACGCACTCGTTTTCTTTGAAAGGTAATTGATATTGAGCACTAATTGTATTTGATATATACGCAATATGTGCAGGAAACAATTGAATTTGTTTTTTAACGTCACTTTTTTCGAAAAGAAGTTTTTTTTTGTTTATTTTTTTTTTTTATAAGTGGAATTTTAGTCATGTACAACATGCATGTGTGACAACCATTTGTGACATTTATTTGTGGTCTACTTCAAGACTTTGTTTTGAAAGACATACAGAATTAGAATGTGAAGTGAAGGCTTTTTTTGCAGTTAATTGCTGAAACAGTAATAATTCTGCTCAAGATGAACTTCGAATTCGGAACTCCTGTTATTAGTGGAATGCGCATACACACATACATAAATATGTATGTATGTAAATGCATGTATAGGCAGGCATGTGTTGTATGTGTGCTTACATACAGCTCTGTTTATTTGTCGAATCTTCAAGATTTTTTTTTTCAAAGTCACACAATTTACATACATACATACATTTACATATTGTATGTGTTTATATGTGAAGTGTTTTTGTTTTTTTTTGTTTTGGTTACCAGTTAACTGCTGACAGAAGCAATAATTTCAGACAAGATGAACTGCGATTCAGGAAATCCTGACTACAATAACAACGATAGGAACTGGACCAACGCCAACAACGGGAACAATAAGAAGGAAAACAACAACACCAAGAACGTCAACGACATATATAACGCCAATAATACGCCGGTCGGCTATAAGAATTACAAAGGCATGCAGAAGGGAAATGAATCGGACAAGAAATTGAAATATGATCCGCCAGCCGATTACAAGTATGAGGTGCATTTGTGCATCTGCAATCGGCCCCAACAGGCATTCGAATGCGGACGTTGCCATCATTTTTTCCATGGACGCATTTACGAGCGCTGCAAGCAGCATCCATTGGTATGTTTACATTGACTTTTATTGACTTGAGCTGAGAGGCATAATTAATGGTCAAATATTGTAATCTCTGTGCGCAGGATTACTTTCTGATGGAGTTTCACCAGTGCCCATACTGTTGTGCACCCACCACAGAGGCGAAGGTATCCAAGTTGTCGTGGGCACAAATTCGCAAGATTGAAGATGCCAGTTTACCGAATGACGATGACGAATGGTAGCTGAGTTTGAGACTCGGTTCGATTAATTAGTATTATAGCAACAAGCAAAAAGAACGTACATATGATATGTATTCATGCTGGGACACGATCTTGTATTAACTGAGATTAACATTAAATATAACCTAGTTCTAGTGTACACTCAAATCTGTGCTATTAATCCATGTCTCATTCACATAATACGCCTGCGGCAGGCAGGACGACGCCGGTTGGGCTTAAACAACGCCAGACACCTGCACACACACACACTCAAACACTTCGAGTATGACATTTATGAAGTCCTCAATGTCGTCGACAGCTTGGCTCGCAGTAAGTTCCACATAAGCTGGCAGCAAGGAGCATGCGGGCGCGTAAGTAGCAGCAGCTTGACATGATTGCATGTTGCATGTTGCATGTGGCATATGGCATATGCCATATGGCAGATGTGGCAAAGAGCGCAGCTAAAGCAGTTGGCAGCCGTGACTTGGCATCAAGTAAGTGACGTGTTGTTGCTAACGCCTGCAACGCTTTAATCCTCTCTCTCTCTCTCTGTTGGCAGGTGATAGACACAGTAAGCACTCAGTTGGCAGGAAGAGCCTCAACTAACAAAGGCCTGCAACACTTTGCTTTAAACGGCTCTTGAGCACAGAGCTGGGGCAATTTGTTAGCAGTTTGCGCTTAACTTATTCGCTGTGCACCATTATCGCATTCAATAGTACCGTTCCCGGGGCGCCATCAGTCAAATTGCCAAACAAATTCATGTCGCCGATAACAATTCAATCACTTAAAAGTTCAAATCGTCTTACAATGCCTCCCCAGTGTCCAACTGGGCAACTGCAACCACAATCTAGCTGCTGTTGCTGCTGCTGCTGCTGCTGTCTGAAACATCTTGTCCCGGGGCTATGCTTAGCAGGGCATCTGCATCGGTTTGTTGGCAACTGAAGTTCGTACTTATCTCAACAGCTTGCTGCAAAGCCATTCAATGGATTCCCTTGATTTGGTCTCAACTCTCTGCAACTGAGGCCTTCAAGTGTCTGCCGTTGTCTGCTGCTGTTGCTGCTGGCCAAGTTTTAAAGCAATATTTTTCAACAGCAAACTTCCACTCAACAGGTCAGGTCAAGTCAAGCTTTTATTTTCTTTAGGTATATATAGTAAAAGACTATTTTGTTTAATCAGGAAGGCAGCATTGAAAGCAGGAAAGTTCCTTTCATATGCATTGTTTATATCTAAATTGGAATAATTATATTTAAATTTTCTATTTGGCTATCTCCTAGCTCGCTTCAGTGAGTTGATCTAAGTAACTTTATATGTTCTCCCATATGCATACTCCCCAGCTTCCATTTGATATCTCTATATATGTATTTACCACTAGAATAATACTCCCCCACAGCTAAATTGAGCTGCCAGGGCAGAGTTCGCTTTCATTGTTGCAGTTGCCGTGGATCCCCCACGCTTGGCTTGCCACCCCTTCAAACCGCGCTAACTGGCATTGGCTTCGTGTCTAATTTCCGTTGTCCTGTTTGGTCTGTCTGTTCTCTCTGATCTCTTGTCTCGCTTTTATTTTTTTTTTTTTCTGTAGCCTCGGGTTTCTGGCGAGTGAGCTGCACAATTGCATTCATGCTGATTTTATTTGCCGCAACACTCACAGCCGACAGCTTGGCTGTCTGCCTGCCTCTGTCTCTGTCCGTCTCACTGTCCGTCCGTCCGCCTGTCCGCCTGTCTGCCTGGCATCCCACCCAGTGTAAGTTTTCGGCGGCGGGCCAACAACTTAACCAAGTATTAGCACTATTTAAGAGCTGCAACGCGGGGCAGCAAATGCAGTTGAAAATTTTCCAATTAGTGCTGCTATTTGAGTTGCCAGCCACGCCTCTAGCACGCCCGCACGCCCTTACGCGCGAAGACCATTGCATTCAGCTTGCCGTAATCTTGGCAATTAGTTTCGCCGACTCGAGACTCGAGGAGTCGCCGCTGTTGCGCCTGATACTCGCTGCTGCAATTGTAAATTATGCAATTGCTTAAAATATTCATGAAAAGTTTCATGGCCAGTCAACAGTTGCCCCCAACGCATATAAAATCAGTTGAGCGCATCCTTAACGCGCCCAAGTGTGTGTGCGTGTGCGAGTGTTGTGTCCTCTGTTTGTTGTCGGGTGAAAAATGAACGTTGTTTCTCTCTTTAAGCATCGCGCTTGAGCGCCATTGTCAATGCGCCGCCTTTCATTGTGCTCGTCCTCTCTGGCACTTTGCGTCGCCCATTCCATTACTGAAGTGTGCACTTCCGCTAAATGGTATTTGGGGCAAGCACATAAGCTTACGATGGAGCAGCAGATAGCAGCCGATTCGACGCGACTTGGCCCCTCCCCACCTCGACCCTTGCCCCGTTCCAAATCTAGTGACGCTTGCAATTTTTATGGCAAACATGACAGCGAAAAAAGAAGGAGGAGAAGAAGCCAGACCGAAAGAGAGGGTGAGCATTGTTCCACTTTTGTAAGCATTGAGCTGTTTATTAGCATTACTCTTATCTTTCAGAGACATCTATATATCTATTCAGGCCAGGCAGAGCTTCTTGGACGGCCGCCGCTGTTCCTGCTCCATGCACTTTGTAATGGCTGTAATTGAATATTAAGCATGGTTAATCTAGCTACATGTATATACTTGTAGTTGCATTTAACCAACCCCATCTGGAGCCCAGGACCACGGGGCACACAGCGTGCTTTGCCAAAGGATCTGCTGCGCCGGCTGCATTCAAATTGTACCACAGCAGGGCTGTGCCACGCCTCGGCTGGACCAGAAGCCGCAGTTTTGGAAAAATGGTAGCGCCACCGACAGCAACGTCATTCGCCTGAATGGGTAAATAATAGAATATATTATAATTATTATTACGATTGTATAGTAATCCTGCTATCTCTCTGCTTACATAAAAGACAATTGTGGCTATGCGATCGGCACGCGCTTTGCAGCTTTTCGTGTCGGCGCCTTGGCCCAGGGCAAAGTTGAGCACGTGCAGCTTATTATGCTCCATCATACCGAAGCCCGTCATATCAGCAATTCTCTGATTTACGCTCAGCTCCACCCTCTTGGCGTTGGCTTCGGGAACTGACATATTTTGAATCGCTTTTATTTCACTATCGTACAACACATCGTGATAGAGCTGCACCAAGGGCTCCAGACTCAACTGCTCCAGCTTCAGTGGCGCCAGCTTCAAGTAAGCTGAGTTCTCGTAGACGTAGCGACAGCTTAAATGATCCGTCTTCCGCTCCGGCCAGAGTCCGCGACAAGCTCTCTCCACGGCTTTGGGCTGTGGCCTATACTTGGCCCGCAGACTGATGTAGATTTTCTCATCCACAGACAGATACTTATTGACCATGTGAGTGATTTTATCGCTGCTGCTCTCGCGAATAACGTTCTTCGATATTTTTTCAGCCAGTTCTTGCCAGCTGGGATCGATGCCATCCGTTGGCGGCGTATTTGTGTTATCCGCTATCAAAGATCAATTATATTTAGTATACATAATGATTACTCAACTGCTTGCTTACGCTCGTTGACAATCGCCTGAGCGTACATTCTGTTCAGTTTTTTGCGCTTCAAGCCTAGCACGCGACTGAACAGATTATCATACGGCTGTCTGTATAGTCGCACCGCTGTGCGATACCAATGCGAAGATCTGGCATATTCTGTATCATTGAAGAGTCTCTCCGCCAGGGCAATGCAATCAGGTGTTGTAAGAAACGAGCTGAATGGAAATCGAAAAAGAGAAACCGGCTGTCATTTCTATTCTTATAGTGGTATGCTCCATGTCATCCATCCATCACCCACTTGTATTGCGTGTCGAGCAGCAAGCCCTTGGCCATATGAGATGTCTCCAGATTGTAGACACTCTCAATGCGCAATAAGCCTTCAACAGCTGTCTGCAAGTCTTTCTCGCTTGGCACCAGCTCCAAATGCTTTTGCATCCTTTCCATTTTGGTTTGATTGCCAAGGTATGCCAGCCATTTGGGCCAGTCCTGTCGGAGCCTTCTCAGCAATGCAAATGCGTTAAGAGGATTTGCAACATACTCCTCCTGCTTTTTGGGGCCAGTCAGAGGAACATGCTCCAACATCGTCTGGTAGCTGGGAGTAAGTGAATTTTGTGACTACTTTCGAAAGTGACTTTTGCAGTTACGCTTGCACTCACAGCTTTATCATATTTAGCTTATCCTGCAAGTCCTTGCCAATGACCTCCAAGTTTTTTTTAAGTTTATTTTCCAGCTTCAGAAACTTAACCATGCTCCCATTGGATCCGCTGTACCGAAATATTTCGTTTTCTTTATGCATTTCTGCATTGCAAAAAACTAATTGTAATGCTAGAAAACATATGAAAAACCACGTCATTTTTAGCCCTAGAAACTATTCCAATTGGTATTCTATATGACGCTGGACTAGTGCTCACTCATGACTTATTTCAACTAACAGTAGTTTGTTTCTATGGTATATTTTGAAGTTTCATGCATTAGTCATAGCGTGACCAGAAAGTTTAATAGATTGAATAGATTTCGACTACGTGATACCCTAGGTAACCGCAGTGTTCAATCAATTTATATATCATGTTATTTTATGTTGCCTTTCCTTATTTTAATGGGCTATATGTTTTATTCGATAATATGAATAGGTTTTTTTTGTTCTACTTGAAGTAGCTGAATTAATTTTTTACAATTTTTTTTTTAATAATATTTTAGCATTTTGCAATAATACAACAATAAAATAAACAGATTCCGCTACAGACTGAGTTCAAGCTAAATTTTTCGAATCGACCCATGTTCGAACTTGAGCGATTCGTCATCATGCTCGTACAATGCCCATAAACCATCAGCCTTTGAGACACTTTCAATGGACAGCAGTTCCTCTATTGTTTCAGAGACAGAGGTAAAGCTTTACAATATTATGAATATATATGTTTGAATCTATAATTTTATTAAAAAGTATTTCTTCTTATTGTTTCGTTTAGTTCTTTAGCTGAGATATCCTCCTGGCCAGACAGGGCTTCCTAAAGAGCTGAGCATCCGAATGTATGAATTTGTTGATTGCTTAAAAACAACATATAAAATATTATTAAAGGCAATTTGTAAATGTACGCGAAGCTTACTCCATCTAGATCCGGATATCACGGGACATACAGTATGCAGTGTAAGTGGATTGTGAGAGTCGTCATCGAATAGATTATACCAATGCAAGGCGCTACCCTTCTGCGGTTGGACTGTAACTTGAATGTTGGGAAAGACGGTTGCACCACCCTGTACTTCGCTCGCCTACAAAAGTAAATATATATTATACTCCGCAATTCGACTTAATTTAAGGAAATTGGATATTGAATACAGACGTAGAACACTACTGTAGCCGTACGCTCGCCTAATCCGTAAATGTGTTTCATGCTTAAGCGATCCGCCGTCGTGTAGTCGAAGTGGGGTATAAAGTGGCCGCCGATGCCGTAGTTAGCGATCTGCAGTGTTTTAAATTCATTGACGTCGAAGCCAGTAATATCTGTAACGCGTACGTTTATACGGTCTGTGAATGGGGTCATTTTTTCAATCCAATCTATTCGTGCCACAATGTTTGGCTTTGCAGTTACATTCAGTGAAGGGCTTCTTGTGAATCCATTAGTAAAGTTTTTTGCTTGCTGTTTCATATCCTCAATCTCGCTGTCGGAAATGGCATTATGGTACAGGACAATATACGGATCGAGACTGACTTCCTCCATTTTAAACGGGGCCAGCCTGAGGAAAGGTGTAGTCGTCG